TACCGCCCGAAAAACCTACAAAGCGTACCTGAATTCCTTTTTATCGTTAGAAATCGCTAGATTTTCAAGAAACGCCACAAAATCATCCTAGAGTTTATACGGAAAAATTAATGGAACCGGAACCGGAAGTGCTTTCCCCTCAATGTCAAACTGGAGGAGTGGGGAATACATGTAAGAAGACGCTATGTAACTATTGTTGACAAGGCACAGACAATTTCGATAAGCCCCCTTGTCATCCTAATCTCAACCCTAATTAGCATGTCTGGAAGAAGATAGACCGGAGTGTAAGACAGCTTTTCCAGCAGCAGAATCTATCGAAACTATAGGACGACCTAGTCTCCATATGGAAAAACATTCAATGAAAGAATTAAATAGTGTGAATTCTTTGAGGAACGGTTGTCTTGCTGTGAATTCGTTTGAATGGAGAATAATGCAGTATTTAACGTTGTGAATTTTTAATTCTAGGGTGCCTTAACGTTTCTGCATATTGTGTTAAAGCGCTTCAATTAAATGAATTAAGTGAGGAAAATTGTTCAGCTACTTTATTATCCTGTATACTTATCAAATTATACTGTTAAAATAATTCAATATAAGAGCGGTGTAAAGCAAAAACTTGCCTGGAGACTTAGAAATTTTGACTAGTATAAGATTGAATAATTGATTAAATAAAGAAAAATATACATTTTAAAGATAATTTTTATTACTTAAAAATATCTATCATCAAACCTTTTGAAAAGCATTCTTCCAAATAAAATGTTCAATTGGATAAAAAATGAAATTACGAACCCTTTTTGCAAAAACCTATGCAGTATGCGAGGATGGAAATACCTTAATCGCCTTTTAACACAACATTACCAATGCAATTATACAACTACTGTTAAAAGGAGAACAGAAGACAGATATGCACCGACTATGTTTTGAGTCGGAAAAAAATAGATGTCTGTCATGTCCTCATTATCGGACGGAAATCGAAGACATTATGGGGCCCTCGCTTTAGAAAACAGATTCGTACATCGTAAATACATACTTTTATTTATTGTAATTCAGTCAAGTTGTATATATCACGTTGATTATTCCAGGAGACTATAAGACTATTGAACATGAACTTTGGGAAAACCCAGATTTTGTTGTTGTACAGTTGAAGATGACCAATGGCTATGTTTCCGAGGCAGCAGGCGAGTCTGGACAAATTGTAACTTCTTACTTTCTGTAGAATCATCAATTTTCGTCGAGGCCAAATGATCCTCGATTTCGTTGTCCACTTTAATATACGACTTAACATCCTCCACGAACAACTGTCTACGTATTTATTAACTTAAAAAAAAATTCTATATATACATGTAAACGTTACCCACGAACGTTTTTTAAATTTTCAAAGAACAAAAGCAAATTTTGTTGAACCACGATCAATGGACTCACACAAATGAAATAATTCCACGCTTTATTTTTCTCAGTTTGTAAACTTTTTGTATTTCACAATATAGACCCAAGACAATCCATTTAAGGAGTTGTTTATGGCATTTCATTGTAGGTGTGACATTCAATTCAGAAGTCTTCAAAACATATGAAAAAATCTGCGGGACTGTTTTTGCATTTAATGACCAAGAAATCCGTCTTTGGTCTATGTCCGGTAAGGTTTTTATGTTAGTTATCGCTGTATCATATCAATAATATAAGATTTAAGAGAAATCAAAAACTTGTACATCATATATCTTTTTTTTAGAAGTCTTTTTACTTGTTTCGAGTTTTTTTATAGCTCACCTGAGCTGAAAGCTCAAGCGAGCATTTCTGATCACCTGTTGTACGTCCATTTCTCTAGCTGTTCGTCCGTCCGTTTTCACATTTTTAATTTCTTTTTGAGAACAACTGAGAGAATTTTTTGCAAACTTAGTACGAAACATCCTGAGGTAGTGTAAATTCTAAATTATTAAAATTATAAACCCCGGGAGAAAGGCGGACCATGAAAGGGAATCCAATTTCTATATTGCAATATTTAGAAAAAAATCAAAAATCATCTTCTCAATAACAACTTGGCCAGAAAAGCTGAAACGTATGTGGAAGCATTCTTGGGTATTGTAAATTCTAAATTGTTTAAATCATGACCCAAGGAATGCAAGTTTTACATTGAAATGTATATGAACCATCTTTAAAATCTTCTCAAGAACCACTGGACCAGATATGCACAAACTAATGTTGATGCATCGCTTGGTAATGCATGTACCTATAATTTTACATTGTTCAAATCATGATCCCCCGGAGGAGGGCGGGACAACGATAAGAAAATCAAAGTTAAACATTGAAATATATACAAGTGTAGGGAAAATCCAGAAATTCTTAAACTTATGTTTTTGGTGTAGATTCTAAATTCTTCAAATCATGACCCCCGGATAGGAAGGGGTCACAATAAGGAATACAAATTTTACATTGAAATATGAAGGAAAAATCTCGTCTTCTCAAGAACCACTGGCCTAGAAAAGCTGAAACTTAGCAGAAGCATTCTGTAGTTGTGTAGATTTTACATTCTTCAGATAACGTGGCATGTGCAGTAGATGGTTGGGGAACAGAGGGCTTTAGGAGCAACACTGCTAGTCTGTATATCCAGGCCTGGGTACTGTATTCCTGTGATAAGCTTTTCTCCACACAATTCACACTGGATAAGAGCGACACAAACACTGTGGAGCGAGTAAGCCTGGATTCGGTCTATAGTTTAGATTCAGCATTCGTTTCTGTTCTGGTAAGTCTAAAGTTTAAGTTTAGTGTGAAAATATCCAACATTGAACAGGTCATATTCATTCTTTACGCTGCTTTTGAGTTGTGCTGCAAAGCTATTTCCTAAATATGTTGGGGTTTTTCTATGATTAAAAAAAACCTATATTGTATTTTTTCATCAAAATAAAATAATTTTCGGAGTTTCTAATGGAATACTGTCTAGTAATTTATTTATTGTCAAGCAAATGATCAATTATGCTTTATTCTTAAATTGCAACTGGGAATGTATCATATCTAAATAAACTACATGAGTTAAACTTGTCAGTTTATGTAAAAGGGAAAACAATCGAAATTACACCTCATATATCTTGTTCCATGTTTTCTATACACTTGTTTCTTGCTCAATTCCATCAGCTGAAAGTATTATCTCCAAACAACGAGGGATTCATGTTTCACGCTGGTGGTAGCGCCATGATTGATACCTCTAATGACCCATATGGAGCTATAATTTACGGATACAATGAGACAGAAGTTATGCTCTGGAGACCATCCCAGACAAATACAGATGGACATTTGGTGTACGTGGGTGGAAAGTGGGGTGACGGGCAAAGTAATCAAGAAAGTGAAGTTGTAGAAGTCGTCGTTAAAGTTATTAACATCACAGGTAAGTATTTGATAAGTTTCAGCAGCACATACTGATGACGTATAAGTGCCGTGACGTCAAAACTCCCTTGCTAAATGTAGCTGCTACTAATATCCCCAAACTATGAATGAAACTGATAAATACCGTAAAAATTGCCAAGTGAACCCGATACATTTTTGGCCACACAAGACAAGGAATATTCATTTCACTTTGATAAATACATGTAGCTTTAACATTTAGTGATTAAATCCCACTAAACATGCATTAAACATAAAATTTCTTTTCCTGTCCAGTAAAAACGTTCTGATAATGGATATTGATACTACATATAGATAAAAAGAACATCATAAAAGAAGAATTGCCTTTGGTTTTCAAATATTATTACATTGTAGTTCTTTCTATGTAGGCACGCCTTGCAGTGGTACAGAATCATGTTCACCTGATTTGTCAAAGACTAGATGCATTTCTACAGGTATTATTTATTCGTCTTAACGATATTGCTAGGTTTTTTTTTTGGCAGAATCTGTTAAAAATTGTAATATTTTCATTTTAAAAAACTAGTTCATCACTGTAAATTGCACGACCATTCGAAAACATAAATGATGATACAGAAAATGTTAACGTAATTAATATCTTTGTTTCAATATCGAATTCGTTGGCATTTATTCCAACTAGTGTTTTTATCGAAGGACTGTATTTGAAATAAGGATAACATATATTTCAATGCAGATTGTCCAATCCCTCCTGATATTGACAATGCTTATAAATTATATGAAGGAGTGACTAATGGTAGCAAGACGTTGTACTCTTGTAAACCTGGATACACTGAAAGTTCAGATGACGTCATAATTAACTGTGTAGAGGGTACATGGTCTTTCACTGCAATGTTCTGTAGAGGTATTTTACACCTTTGTGGATATATGAGAAAAATGTGAAAATTACATCACTAATTTAAAAAATATCTTTAACAGGATTTGTAATATAATAAAATTCTGAAACTTTTTATGTGAATTTGTTTGCTCCACACCTCCTGCTGTTGAAAATACAACAGTTTTTGTCCAGGACAATAGAGCAAAATATTTCTGCTTTACGGGATATTTCCTTATAATAATACAATTGACGTCATCGAGTGCAGATACAGCACCTGGCCATGTACTGACTTTAAATGTATAAGCAAGGATCAAGATCTTTATACATTTTTTTTACATGTAATACATGTCTTAAGTAGCATTTCACGAATATAAATATTTTATGTTTGTTTAGTCTTTAATAAAATATAAATACATCCTTTACAAAATGTTGTATTAATGGTTTGCACCAAATCATATTCTTAAAGTATTGTAAGTCAGAAAAGCATAGTTTGTAAATTATCTTAATAAATTGATACATAAAATTATTTTTTTATATATATCAACTAATCATTGGAATTTCACTACATGTTTGTCTATCTTTAAAGAATCTTGTCTTGATCCACCCACCATTGCTAACGCTGACGTCATGGTCTCCAATAATGTTGCTCTATACTCCTGTCGTCAGGGGTCTTCCTATGATTTTTTTCTGAGCCGTCCCGGACACTGTAACGAATCAAATATTACTCGTGCGACCTAGTAAATATTTTGCAACACATTAAGAAATGTGGTAATCAGAAAATCAATTAAAGAGCAAGAGCCACTTTGGGCATTATTTGGCCCTGAGAATTTCTGAAAAATCAAAACCGCTCAGTTTAGGTTGCCAATTCAGTATTTATCACTTGGAGTGCTGGTGACCACGTATCTATTAATTGTGACGTAATTTCACATTTAGTCAATGCATTATGACGTCATAAAATGCGTCATTTTCCTCATATCCTGTAAATTCCTTTGAAAATGACCTAAAGTTGAAGCATTTTTTCAATATTTCATATACAGCACAACCTCTGATCCAAAATATGCAAATACATAATAAAAGCTTTGTTTCTGAAGATCAGAAAACCTGTTTTATTTTTTGGATGGGCTGTGCTCATATTTTAATTCTTTGCTGCAGGTAGTCAAATATGCATGTATTCTGCAAATTTCAAGAGCAATTTTTCAAAGCCTGTATTCCAATGTGTGGATTCTCAAAACGAAATTTTATTATAGAAAATGAAAGCACCAAGTGTCTACTTTATTTTGATATAAAAATGGGAAAGAGGGTGATAGTTAATTAATTGATATAAGTACAGGGCCATTTTATGCATAAGATGGCTCTTGCTCTTTCTCTAACAGGGCACTTAATCTTCTCTTATCATCACCGAACAGATTCATGGAATTTTCATTATTTCCGAATCAACAGAACTTTTTAAAGAATAAACACACATAATTATCCCCCGAAAATTAAAATAATTCCTAAATAATCGAATCGATCTTTTAGCGATAATTGTTTGCTTTTCATGGATTATTTAAATGTAAAAAGCATACAATTCCTTTCAATTTTCTTAGCAGTTACTTTAAAATTTAAACAAGCCACTTAAATAAGGATTGTTTACGTTTTTTAGATACAGCAAAGAGAATCAGAAGCAATATCACCAATGAGACGCTTGCAGAATGGATAAAAAAGATGAAGAAGAATCTATCCGTACATAAATCAAAAACCAGTGCCTATAACAGAAGCTTGATCAGTGTCTACGAATCTCGTCCTAGTGCTGTACAGATAGGAAGTTTTGGGGTCTTTCTGATAAGTTTTACTATAATAGTTTTCATTTTACCCGATATAGTTTCTGTTGTCAAAAACTTGCGTAATAAAATAAATAAGAACTTTTGTCATCATCGGACGAAGAGAAATAAAATACTGGTACATGTATATAGATAAATATATGTTATGTTTTGTATTGGTTTATGGACTTAGATCTTGAACACAGTTGGTTGTATCCACATGTTTCATTAGACTACATCTGATGCATTTGTTGTTCAAATGGCATTCCAGAACATGTTAGTCATAATTATGAAAAAGTTAAATATAAAATGTCGTTTGTTATGATACTGTTTTTCGATGTACAATTGTGAATTAATTTAATTTTTATGATTTTTTTTATTGCGAATAAAAGCGATGTTTATCTTCTTGACTATAACTTTCCTAATAGATATATACAAATGAAGTACAAAAGGATGTGATAATTGTAATATCAACAGGTTATCTTCGTGTAGACAATGTTGAGGATTTGTGAAATATCCTCATGCGTTCTGTCATCCCTAGTATGGGAATTTGATTTACATCTTTGGGATGAGCCGAGACTTTTTGAGACAAATATTGCATCATAAGAAGGTGATAAACAAGACCTCTGAATGCGGCTGAAAGATGCAATGTAGATTCAATAGAATATCTACGTAAAAAGATATACAGACCTTCTATGATTTGTTTGCTTGTTATAACAACGAAAACGTTTGTAATATCAGTTTAGATTGATTGATTGATAAGCTGTGTGTTGTTTAAATTCCCTCTTGAGAATTTATAACGCCACGACTTGCCGGTATAGAGCTGCAAATGGTGTCCTATACTCGGCACTTAAAGCCATTGACCATCGAGAGGTCGTTTTCTAGCCAACATCTACTGGGGGTTAGGTTTATGGTCTCATCCAAAAGACTGGTCTCCACGTCTTACATTGGGATTCTAACCTGTAACTTTAAGCTTTGATAGGATACCGATTTTTTTTGTTCTGATAATCCTAATGGTGGGGCAGTAGGAATGGTCTTTCAGTGCTCTTAGAATATGAGCTTTCTCGACCTGGCCCATTCGATGACCTGATCAGTTGCGTGTATTCGTGAAACGTACAATGCAGATATTTTGAACTAAATTGGAGGGATATATGGCTGTTTTATAACCATTTTTAAATAATTAACGCGTAAAAATAGAGTCAAAAATGAATGGGAACGTCAGTAAACGTGACTTGTACGAGGGTTGATCCAAAAGTTTATGGAATTTATTTCTAAAATTGTATCGTGATTTGATGAAAGAAAACTATAGACTTATTCATAACATAGAGTCATTGTGCATCAATACTGGAATATTTCACCTAATTCCTATTATTAATAAGGTCACACGACTTTTCTGGAAATGGATGATTGTAACATCTGGGGTAGACTTAGACGTTACGTCAAGTTAAGTATGTTACGTCACGTTATAAGAGCATATCAGACTCCTGTCCGATTTGACTAAGTAATTGTACAGAATTCTGCCTTTCTCTCTATTTTTTTCAAGAAAAGCCTTAAAGTTCGTATCCTGTCACACCGACTTATCTTCATATTACAAAACGTACAATCATATTTCATCTTTACATATGATATCAAAATTTCAGTAGCAATGTCAAGTACAAAACATCAGCGGTCAAAGTTCATTCACGCTTAATTTGTATATAAAACAGGCCATCTGAAAGGCTGCCTCACCTTTTATTAAATGATAAGGAATTTTGGTGCTCTCTGATTGGTCTAGACGCCATTTACTGGTGTGTACCTCAGAGTGAGTTCACCTCAAACCTCAAATGACGTTCTGGGAGGTTTATTTGGGTTTTCCCTCTCGACCAACCATAGATTTGCTTACAGCTTTTTCGACCAATCAGATTGCGTGTTTCAAAGCATGTGTCGGTGTGAATGTAAACATGTCAGACGCCATTAGCAAGGAGATTACGAACTTTTGAAAGTAAATGGTTGAGTATTTATTGTTTATTTATATTGTTTTTAACTTTTTAACTAATATTTGTTTAGCTGTTGAAGTTTATCAACATGTAAAAAGTGTAATTACACTTTACATTATGGATGTTTATATTTGATGGAGACAAGAATGAAAGAGTCAGCAGTGTTGTAAAATTCCTCATCATTTAATAAAACGGTTATTGACTTTTGAATTCGGTCTACTCGTGACTATACAGACCTGGTCAGGTATTGGTTAACCTCGGCCTTCGGCCTCGGTCAACCAATACCTGACCAGGTCTGTATAGTCACGAGTAGACCTCATCAAAAGTCAATAATTGTTTATAATCAACCTCCATGGAAGTTCTTTTTTTCTTAAATTTCTCACGCCACTAGAAAACCAGTTGCTTATTGCATTTTTCTCCAGTCTGTATCAGTAGTATACGCGTTTAAGTCAGAGTGCTCCCAAGATTTTCAGAAAACTTATAAATTGGTTTGACGTTAGTCTAACAATTTAGAGCTTAACAATAAAACATCAACTAAAAAACTTAATTTCTACATAAAGCAGTCAAGCTCACACACAAAGATTGATAAGAATCTCGCAATTGTAATAATGACATAATTCTCATTTTTTGTGCCACTTATAGTGGGTTTTTTTTTCAAATCCATGTATCAAGAATAAAATTGATAATGAAAGAGTAAATGTCTCTCCCACATTTTCAAACATGCGTTTCTATGGCAACTGCCATTGCATTTCTGTCATAGCTTTTCAAAATTTTTTTTTTTTATTTCAAAAATCAACAATTGTTTATATTCTCACTTATAATTTTTCACCATTTTCACAAATAAATAAATAAATTTAAAACATGAAGAAATTCCACTAATTTTTGGATCAACCGTCGTATATTGCATGTTCAGCCAGTCGTGAGTTTCTTATTAATCATAGCATTAGATCTGATTAATCATTAGCATATCTCATCAAGATCTAGTAAACAAGGGTTGACTGTACATGGACCGTTGGG